GAAAAATACACCGCCTTCGTTCATCTTACTCTTCATTTTATCAAGCAAGTTTATTCTTAGTTCTATTTGATCTGAAAGTTTTTTAAAAAACAATTTGAACATGAATGGGTCAATCTGGTCTCTCTTTGAGAAAGAGGAGTAAGAGAAAATTGAAGTTTGATAGCTTCTTGTTCTTGATTAACTGTGTGGTTTTATGTTGTATGATGCAGTATTTAATTACTGAGCAAAACTTTGCGTCGATCTCAAGCAATTCAAGAAGATAAAAGCTCTAGAAGAGAAATGAGAATGCGTAACTTGAATAGAATCATTAGAGATGATGATGTGGTGTGCAGAAACTTTCTTCGGATGACCTGACAAATATTTGTCGTTTTATGTGAGATGGTAAGAGATACAAGTGGGTTGACTCAGTCAAGGAATATGTGTGTGGAAGAGATTTTAACAAGTTTTTTTATACACATTGGCGCACCATAAGAAGAATAGAGCGATTGGGGGATATTTTTATAGAAGTGGTGAAACTATAAGTAGACAATTTCATGCATGTCTAAAGGCAGTTTTAAAGTTGCATTTTGTGCTACTTAAGAAGCCTTCTCCAATAACAGAAGACAGCAACGATGAAAGGTGGAAACTCTTTAAGGTACTTACGTTCAGGTGTTGTTATTTAGAAAGAATGAAGTTGTTTTAGAGTCTAATTGTGACATATGTGTTTTGTAGATTTGCTTAGGTGCACTTGATGGTACAATGATTAGTGTAAATGCCAAGGAGTCACTGCGATGAATGTTTTAGGAGTTTGCTCACCAAATATGGAATTTATCTATGTGTTGCCTGGTTGGGAAGGATAAGCCCACGATGGTCGAGTTCTCCGTGATTCTTTATCTAGACCTAATGGTTTTAAAGTCCCAAGAGGTAACCTCACTAGTACACATGTCATTTGTTCTAGGGATCCTTAATTAATGTATCTAGACCTAATGTTTTTTTATGTTAAGGTTATTACTATCTATGTGATGCTGGCTACGCTAATGGAGAAGGGTTCATTACGCCATATAGAGGACATATTTACCATATTAGAGAGTGGAACAATGCTACCCATCATCCACAAAGCGCGGAAGAGTACTTTAACATAAAGCACGCATCGGCTAGAAATGTGATAGAACGATGTTTTGGGTTACTAAAAGGGCGTTGGGGTATTCTTAGAAGCCCTACTTGGTTTAACCTACAAACACATAGTCGCATTGTCTTGGCTTGTGCATTATTACATAACTTGATTACAAGATACATGCCTTCTCGACCTGGTGATGATGAAGAGATATTTGAACATGATGATGAAGATAGTGATGATGGAGAATGTGAGGATGAAGAGGGGTACATAATTTCCAAAATGCATTGGCTCAGAACATGTTCAACACTTGGAAAACTAGATCTCGTAGAGTCTAAAAATTTGTGATTTTTTTGTTAAACTTGTTCAACATACTCTTTAACACTTTCATTAAACTTGATTACTTGTGTGTTATGAAACTTTGTGTTTATATAATGTGTTTTGTATGTTATGAAACTTTGTGTTTATTGGACCATGATGTATGAATTTTGTTTAATTGTATGTTTGATAAAATAAGTATTATTTTTAATAATTTAATCATACTTGTGTAAAAAAAAATTGATTCCCTTATTTTGAACCAAACGCGAATAAAGGGAATTCTATTCCCTTTACTGTACCGGACCAAACAAACATAGTAATTCAGGGGTAATCATTTCATTTCCCCCTGATTCCCTTTCCTGTTTCCTTTCCCTTTCCTCAGCATGAACCAAACGCCTCCTAAATGATATCAGTCACTTTCAAAAAGTACGAATAAATAAAAATCTTATTGTATCAATTAAATATGGATTTTTATAATTAGAAATAAGCTGGAGAACAACAAGTTCACCCAGAGCACGACCAACACAATCGAAAATTGTTGAGTTCTAGTTGTTTCTTTTCTTTTTAACTGTGTTTTTTGATTAGGCCCTTTTTTCGTTTAAACCCTTTTTCTTTGTGTTTTGATTTTATGTTTTGGTTCATATCCTATTATAAATTCCATGTTAAACCTTCCGTCAATTAGCCAGTTGCACATAAAGTCGGGATCCACTTTCTAAACTAATAGGTAGGAGCTTTACCTTTCTATGCAGATAGTGGTATTTCATTACTTTCTCCGACATGGGAACTCCAACACTATCCCTCAACTCGTAACTAGTCTGACCTAATTAATCTTAATCTCTAGATAGCCCAGACAACGGACATTGGCATTTCAATCTCTTATAGTTAACTCCCAAACTACAGACGGGTGACTCGTATCGCTAAACCCACGTCCAAAGAATAAGCAAGAATCAAACACAGACCGAACCAGACCTACTCTGATACCATGATAGAATTTTTGGATGGGGTAAGAATTACTCCGTACTAGATTAGATCATAAGACATTTGGGCTAAAGCACATTAAAAGATTAAATTCGATCGATATCTTAGTTCAACTCAAGAGCTCATATATCATTATATCGATTACTTATCTCTTCCACTTCGATGTGGGATAAAATCTAACAATTCATAATAAATATTTCCAGTGGTGCTTCATTTAAAATTGTATTTTTTTGCTCTAAGAAGATGATATCTACTCATCCTGACCCCTTCTTTGGGTAGATTATCCTTTCCACTTCTCTACTTGTAAATACATAACACATGTTAAGATCAAGAACTAAAACTCAACACAGAAATCTGAAACCCTCAATGTAACAGGTCTGGAGAGCTCAACATTGAAACCCTAAACCCTTTCTCAATTGTGGCCTTCCCCATGAGCAATAACAAAGTCTCTATGCGAAAAACTATGGAGAAACATAACCTCTCTTCGATTAGGAGTACGTTTTCTCTTTTTTTTAACGATGTAATGTTTATCAAGTTCCTTATATATTCATACTTTTTATTCCTTTTCTAGAACTTCCACCGCTTCGTTCTACAAGTTTTGAAGCACGTAGGTCCCTGGCTCAAGGCATAGAGCAGCTCCAGAAGAGACCTACGTGGTACAAAACTTGGAGAACGAAGCAGTGGAAGTTTTACAAGATGAAAAAAATGAATATAAGGAACTTGATAAACATTATGGAAGACCCGCGTTAAAAAAAAGAGAAAACGTACTCCTGATTGAAGAGATGTTATGTTTCTCCCTAGATTTTTTTATGCATAGAGACTCTAGCCATGATTGAGAAAGAATTTAGGGTTTCAGTAAAGAGTTCTCTATACCTGTTACATTGAGGGTTTCAGATTTCTGTGTTGAGTTTCAGTTCTTGCTCCTGAAATGTTACATATTTATTAGTAGACAAGTTGAAAGGATAATCTACGCTAAGACAGGTCATGATTAATAGATATTGTCTTCTCAAAGGAAAAAAAAAATCTCCCTCTGTCTCGGGTGTTTTGTCCGGTATTGCTTTTAGGGCCGTCCCAGTGTATTTGTCCACTTTCTATTTTTGGAATAACTAAAGTTTTCAAAAAGTCTATTTTGCCCTCCTCTTAAATTTATACACTATGTTCAATTCTGTCCTCTATCTTCAATCTATCTCGGGATCGTGCCACTTCCACAAGATCCGGAGACTAGTGCCCTTGTCTTTATCCCTAATCCATCAGCGGAGCAACGACAGAGACGATGACAGATGTTAAGGATCCATCTCTGGTTTTTTAAGGGTCTGGACATCACAAGATATGGACTAGTGCCATGTTCCATCGCTGATGTTAGGGATAATCAAATCATTGCTAAACATTTGTACATCGGCTAGCGCCATCTTTGTTCTAGCAGCAAAGCGACGCCAAGGAAGGCAGCGAAGCAACGACAAGCTGGCTCCATCACAAGAAATAGCTTGATGGAATAGCGATAAACATGACGGTGAGTCCGAGGTCAGAAGCTGATTTGTGATTGGCCGGGGCAAATTTGTAAATTTGTAACTGGGAAGGGCTTGGGTTCATAAATTTTGAAGATAAGAGGATGCAGAGTTGAAGATGAAGACAGGTTTTTTTTTAGATTTGGAGGGCTTTGGGACATTTCAATCAACTCAACCCCTCCTTGGATTTGTGTCAAAACAAAAGTGGACAAAAACACCGAAACAGAGGAAGTACAATATTAAATGAACCACAACCGAAACTGTTTATTACGATTCATATAATAGCATATGAACAAAAACTTAAAATAAAAATCAATTTGAATTTCATCTTTTGGCTCAAGTCATAATATATGATTCACACGGTTATGGTCAAATTGAAATCATATTTTTTGAAAAGTAAAAGATATAAATTCTGTTTCGAGTAAAAAATATAACTTTTTACTTTACCAAAATTTAGTTTTGAGTGTCTAACAATCTATTTTACTCATACCCAAGAAGTCACCACACTCCCAAACACTCCAAAGTTGGAGAAACATACGTGAAATTTTAGATTATTGTAGATTGATCGTCCAGATATTGTGACAAGACTGTTCAATTTTTGTATATAAATAAAAATTCATATTGTACATATTCAAACGATTCGAAAGAGTACGATTTTACGGTTAAAACCATTCAGCACCATACTTTTTTATAAAAAGTATGATATCACTTAGTACCAATGTCATATGATATTACTCCGTATTATACAGTATTGTTTGGTATTAAATGACATCATTCAGTTTCAAAAAAATGTGGTACCAAATAGTTTTAGTCGAAAAAGCATATTGTATCAAACGATTTGAATACATATATTTTTCTTAATTTATTTTTATCGCAATTTATAGGTTCATTACTTTTATAAATAAATGAATAAATAAAAAATAACCCCAAGGATAAACGAAATTCAACCCAAATCATATTGTATTGTTTGGTGCACCAGTACTCTTAAAAGGAAATAAAAACTTTGAGTTTGGACTTTTAGAAAAAAGTTGGAAGATATGCAGCTAACTAAACAGACCGATTGCTAGGACTCATCACATTTCTTTAAAACCAACAATTTTGGATGCACAACACAAATGTTTTGATTTCACTAATACACAATAAAAGAGCACAAGGTTTTCAAGAAATGAGATATCAAATTTTCAGAATCAGATGTTCAAAATGCTACATAAAAGCTTCATGGCCAAAAAGGATTATAACCTAGAAGAGTCTTAAATCAAAGAAAAGTCTTAAATAGAAGATTCAACATACCTGCTTTAATATGCAAATTGGACCTGATGGGTTTGGTTGGCAGCAGCAATCTCCCAGTTTTGAGGTAGAAGTCGAAATACGGATACTTCCTAACATTTGGGACAAGGATGAAGCAGCACCTTCTCTGCCTGCCCAATCACCAGTCCTCTCCAAAGCCATACTGAAGAGGTGTGTTCTGAAAGGTCTCAACATTGTATGTAAACTTCACTTCTATATGCGGATACTTACTCAACATTTCAGACATCGATGAGGTGTGCTCTGCAAGATTCATCAAATACTCGGGATCTTCCGGTTCTATAACCTTCCCATGGACAATCAACTTCCCAAGATTTGGACAGCACTTCAGCACCTTCTCTGTCCATTCCGTGAAGTCAAGGACACAATCCCATTTGAAACGATCCCATCCAACATCCAAGATGACCACATTCTCCAAGGGAGACACTCCTCTAAAGTTGTAGTTGACAGGCTCATTTACATCATAGAATATTGAAAGATGGTTGAGCTGGGGCGAACAAACAGCAATTTGGTCTAAATCCACAACTAGTTCGGACCCATCAACAATTATTGTAGGATCTCCATAAAATCTCATGCGTTCCCCAATAAAACGCCAAATTCGAAACATTTTCAACTTTGGTGCTAGAACCTTCATCGGGAACAAATTTGACTGAACGACATGACTGGTGACGAATTCTAAAATCTCTAGATTGTCACCCTCTTCAATTTCAAGAAGTGAAAGATGTGATTTAGAAATCTTGAGGTGCCTCAAGTTTTTACTGCCATGGACCTTAAATATGCCAAAACAAGAGTCGTTCACATGCAAATATCCAATATCACAGGTCTCCAAAATAAGTTGGAGAGCAATGACACGAATGAAAAGAAGAGTCTTTAATGTAGGTAAACGCAATTTGACAGTTACTTCTTCATCAAAATACTCATCCACTTGTCCAAATTCGGGGTTACGTAGTTCCAAACACTCAAGTTTGGGAAGAGCCAGGAGGACTCGGTTTAAATCCTCTCCTGAAATACAACAACAATTTAGACAAAGTGATGTCAGACAGGGGAATTGATGGAAGACTGGTTCAACCCCAACAACTTTTATGGCATATAAACTCAAGGTTTTGAGTTTTGGCATTCCGCATAGATCAAGAACATTAATAGTGGGAGAAATGATAACCCTATAAAACAACTCCGACAACGTTTCTCTGGTGAACATTAACCAGCCCAATACTGCAACAGCTGAAACCTTGTGACTGTGAGTTGCAATGGAAAGCTTTCGCACACCATTCGTTTGAAATAAGGTCTTTGTGATTGACACTTCCAAGTCAGCAGTAGGAAGTTCGTGGTAGACATGATCACCATCAGAAACATCAAAGGAAAGTGTGTGAAGGTGCTTGCGAAAAGCTTCTCGCCACTTGCGACGAGTTAGAGAAGCTCTGATCACATCTCTTGCAACTCCTACACGAGACAATATCTCTCCAATAATCTCAACAGGAAGTTTCTCAATGAGGCCTTCCTCGCTCGTACTACCATTAGGAGAATGAACACGAGATTTCTTGATTACATTCCTCTCCATCTACAAACCATATATGCAGATTTCTTAATTACATTTCTCTCCATCTACAAACCATACATAAATTCAAACAGAAAAATCTGTAATTCAACAATGAAGTGGGAAAATCACAGGTATGCATTAAGACCGAACAAACAAATTCCGATCTTCTAAATTACATTATAAACCTTTAAATTTACAAGAAAACGAATCGAAACAATGAAATAAACAATAATAATTTAAAGAGTGATAAGCACTTACGAATTATCTTGCGACCAATACAAACAAATTTCCAAAGGAGCCTTTCCCTTTCTAGGGTTTGTGAAGGACTTCGAAGATGAAATCTGCGTGTTTAAAGGGAACTACGACCTAAACGACATGAGCAAAAGGAATGAGCATCGGTATTAGACGTGGAGATGCTCCATTTTAACCACCCACGAGGCCACGAGCCCACGACATTCATATTTTATTCCATTATTTTCTATAAAAAAAAAAAGAATTTCAAGCAAAAATAGCAAGTAAAATAGTGAACACGAATATATGTATGACTATTTAAGAATTATATTAACATTTCATATATGTTTTAAAAGTTCAACTAATATATAAATATTATATGAATTAAAATTTAATTCTATTAATTTAATTTTTTAACAATAGTATTTTATTGTAGCTACCTATTTTATAAGTGTGTGAAGGTATTTATAAGTTTTTTTAGAAATTTTTATTGTAGCTACCTATAATTAGATACGATATTTTTTTTGAAAAAAATTATATTTTAACAATAATTCTTATGCTCTAAAATTTATATATAATAGTTTATAGTAGCTAGACTATTAGATACTGTACTTTATATAATTATTTTTTTGAAAGGTTATAAAAAGAAAATATGATGATATAATAAATATGCGCATATACATATATATACTCCGTAATTTTTAACTAATAAATATAATATTTCTAATAGTAGATACACAATAATGATGCAAATGTATTATATTTCATATAAATTTATATTTTTAAAATGGAATAAAATAAGAAAATGGTTTAAAAATTCATACAAAGTGTTTTCTTTTAAAAATTTGAAAAAGTTTATATAACCTTTGAAAAAAGTAATTAAATAATAAGACATTAAAATATATCTTAAAATGATGAAAGACATATTAGTATAAAATTAGAAGATAAAAAGTTTTTTACATACAAATTTGTTGTAATTAAATACAATAATCATGAATAGTTTTTTAAATAAAAAATATTCTAATAAATGCCATGTGGACCAATAAAATAATGGCATTAGGTCACGTGGATAAACAATTTGCCATGTCATATTCCACATGTCTTTACCACAACCTAAGAACACTCTTTTACATACATACATACATACATACATACATACATACATACATACATACATACATACATATATATATATATACACACACACACACATATACACACTAGTATTTTAACCCGTGCCATGCACGGCATCGAACACATTTTTTGTCAATTCTAAATCTTTTTCAATGTAATATATTTTCCAAATTTAAGTAATTATATTTCTAACATGATTTTTAATTAATGGATAACAACGACAACCTAGAATAAATTATATTTTAGGAATTGAAAGTGTACTCGAATGTTTTTTAATTCCAATTTTTTTGAAAGACTTCAGGGTATACAGCATTTTTGGTATGGTTGTAAGGGTTTTATTGTCATCTAGAACCAATATATTTAATATGTCTTTGCCTTTACTCGTGAATGAGTAACATAAAGCTGGCCATAAGTAAATACCGAATTGGTGAAAAATAATACAGCAAAAGACAATGTTTGATCTTAAATTTTGTTATTAGTCATAACAAAACATAATACTATTGAGAATGTTTTCCTATTGAATTTCAGGGTACTCCTGAATCGGATGGTACCAAATTCTTTCGGGGTATGTAAACTTTTTTCCCGTTTTAATTTCTTGAAACCTCAGTTGCACTAATAATGTTCTTTCATAGTTATTCAATGATTAATATTCCCTCATTACAGAATCCAGATATTTGGTCAATGTTCCTCAATTTACCCTTTTTAAAAAACTACAGTATTTTGTGTTTTGGGATCCTCAAACATTTGATTTCATTAAAAAATTCAAGTGTTATAAATATAGAATTGACTAAATCGTGGTCTTTCACCATCTGGTGACATTAGATGGTATGTGGTGATGATTATACCTACTAAGTGTCAATTGCTACTCGACTGTTGTGGTAAGATGCAGCAATATTTTCATCTATGTACGACAAGGGAAAATATATTGTTGTATTTTCTTAAAATTTTCATGTTAATGAGAACTCTTCACATCAAGTTCATAAAATAAATTAAAGAGCAAACCCGAGGGCTTCTTTAGAAGAGACGGTTAAACTTTTTTTTATGTAACAAACTAAAAACTCTATATGTTTTGAATCTTTAATTGTTTGGTTCTTTCTTCATAATGTAACAAAGTCTTCCAAAATTCACAAATAAATGTGGGATCCCCAAAATAGATGCTCTCCAAAGAAAAATAAAATATAATATAGCTAATCTTATATATATATATATATATCATTCCACACAACTTAGATGCTGCATATATTTACTCTAAATATACTTTTAATTTTTTTTCTCGTAATGCAGAATTATCTAAGCATGATTTCACTGATGCATCTAAAATAGATGAACCTTCTATCTCGACATCTAAATTTAAAGAGTGTTTCTTTGGTGCACCTTGGGTGCAAATCATATTTGTGGATCTTCTCACATAAAAAGTTCTTTTTTATAATTTTAATTGAAAAAAGATATTTATTTAAGTAATAAGGAAATAATTAGTTTTCTCATATGTACTTAGATCCACCACATGATTTGCCAAATTTAAAATATATCGAGTGTGTTCACCATATTAATTTATGTGGTATTTGCTTACATTGTTTATTAAATCTTATACATATAATTAGTTAATACACAAAGATAATTGTTGTATTGTCATTTTCAAAAATATTAAAAGCATGTGCTATAAAAGATAGATCAATTCTCTTTTGTCTCTTTTGCACTCGAAAGCGTGATGAAAGTGTATATATAAATATTTTTTGATTAAAATAATGTATAGATAATTATTAGGGGAAAAATACTGAAAAATTAAATATTTAATTCAGAAGAATAAAAATACCATTTGTAACATCACAGAGTACACTCTTTATCGAACGTGTTCGATCATGCGAGGCTATAGCCGATGACGATCCCTCTCTTTCTGTATCTGTAATAACCATCAAAAAATAGATACTGTAAATACTTTTATCTAAAAACTTTAAACATGAAAAATTTCTATTATTCAGTAATATTTGGCACCTTGTGGTTGATTGTCGGATGAATAAATAAGCAAGAATATTACTTATTTATATTATTTTGACAAAGATGTAGATATAAACATATTTTCTATTTTCAAGAATTTTATTAAATAGTAATTACACTTATAATAATTAATATCATACCATAAATATTTTGATTAAGAACACAAATTAATAATTAATTTCATACACATAAATACTCTCGTACCAAGTCTTCATCTTTGTACAAAGTTGTTAATGAAAAATAGTAAATTTTGTGACATGAATTTATAACTTTTTACAAAGTTAGTAATGGAAAATAATAATTTGAAAATAGAAATTTAAGATAGAACATATTTGTTATTTGACTTAGAGTTCTTTTAATATATAAGGAGCAAAATAAATGCTCTTTTAAATAAACATCCCAATAAAAATCCCTTTCCTTTTATATATTTATTTCTCTTTTTCTCAAAAAAGGAAAAATCTCTCCAATGGTATTAATTCAAAGTAATAACAAATATTCACATGTAATTTTCTTTAGTCCTACCAATCTATCCGTTCTTAGAATAAATTTATATGTTTTTATTATTTTTTTGAATATGACTTACTTTTTTCAATTTCAAAAAATATTATCTAACTTAAATATTTTCCAACAATGAATTAAGATATAAAAGTTTTTAAACGTAGTTATGCAAAGGAATTTGTGTGTAACCATACAAAACTTAATTTCTAAAGAATATATTTTTTATTAACTAATTCCTTAAATATTACTTAATGAAATGACATGCTGACATGTCAACAAATTGCCTAATAAGCGTGTCACATGTCACAATTGTCATGTTATCAAAGTCATCAAAGGTAGCAGTCTAGCAGATGATTTGTAAAAAAAATTGTCAAGTAGACCTGCCATGTGTCGCAATTTCAAAAGCTTAACTCTCAAATTTAATATAATATATAAAGATATAAAGATATAGGATCTTTAAAAATCAATAAATAATTCTTCAAGCAATACTAATCTTGCAGTCCTTTAAATTTCAAAAGTCCACGAATAGTTATTCAAATACTCATCAACCCTTCAAATGCAATTTTTTTTACGATTGACGTTAAAAAATAAACGAATTACTACTTTCATATATATAATATGAAGCACTTGTACCTATACGTATGTGATTTTTTTTACTTATATGGAATTAATGGGTTTCTAGAATTTCAATCAAAGTTTTGTGTTCTTTAGTATACAAATCGAACCTTTTTAAAAGTAAAATTATCCCCAGCTTTTACAATGGGAGGAAAAGACTCACTGCACTGCGAAGAAGACGTGGCTAGCACCGGGAACTCATTGCAGATCGAAAGTCGCATCTGGCATTGAGGCGGAAGCTATATACGGAGCTAGTTGCATGTAGGTCGAAAGTTATATATATGGAGCTAGTACTCTATTTAGCTTTTAACAGGCACCGTAAAAATGACTCCATTTGGAGGGTTGATGAATACTTGAAGGACTATTTATGGATTTTTGAAACTTGAAGGCTTATTGTAGAGAATGTTGAATACTTGAATGACTATTTATAAAATTTTGAAACTTGAAAGACTAATCGCGCATAGCTAAAGTTAGACCAATGATGGATTTTAGCCTTTATTCTAACTTATTTCTATACTTATTATTCTTATCAGAAACATAACCGATCAGATCCATTATAATTCATTTAGATAAAAATAGTATTTTAAAAATGAATAACTTTAAAATAATAATAATAACAAACAATAATAATTATTATAACCATTATACATGAACATTAATAAAATTAGTAGTAATAATTTACTATCATCATGTTTAATAATAAAAGTAATAACTATTAATAATACAGACTAATAATATTTAAAATAATAACGTTACAAATTATTTTTAACGAATAATGATGATAATAACAATTCATAATAATATTCATTACAATCATCATACTTAATAATAAAAGTTATGCATAGTAATTAATATTAATAATAATATTATTATTATTATTAATAATAATAGTTAAAATAATAATTACAAATAAGAATTTTCATTAATAATAATAGTTAAAATAATAGAAATGATAATAATGATAATAATTATTTCTAACTAATAATAATTAATAATAATTATAATAAAGACTCATAATAATATTTAGTTGTAAATATAATAATAATAATAATAATAATAATTTTTAACTAATAATAATATAACTTAACGATAAATGTTTTTAGTTATAATTATAAATAATAATGATAGTCTTCCTCATTAGTCATAAAACTAAAAATATATAATAATAATAATTATTATTATTATTATTTATAATAATAGTACCTATTGTCATTAAAATAATAATTATAATAATAAAAATATTAATAACTACAATCATAATTATTATTAATAAAAATTTTATAAAAACAATAATTTTAAAAAAGAAATTAAAAAACAAAATTTCCAAAGAGGGGTGTTTGTGCCAATTTCCAAAACTATAAGGGACAATAGAGTTATTCAATAATATCCGAACGGTGTTTTAGTTTAGATGGGCATTGTCGTAGCAATATCAGAACCATGAGGAGGGTGACAGTGTAAGTTTTGAAATTGTAGGGGATAACAAAGCACATTCATCAAAGTACAGACGATCATGGTGCAATAAACTCGAAATTTTGAGAGGCTATATTGATTGTACATAAAAATGTAATGAAATTGTGCATTACACGATGCCTTTGCATGTACTACCTTTATATCATTCTTAGATGTTGATTACTTAAAAATTCACAAGTATTCCAATTGCTTTCACAGCTGGATGATGAACAACAAAAATGAATTATTCTACTAACAAAGTGTGGAACTCTGAAATGTATGCCCAAAAAGATTTCCACCCATCAGCTGAAAAATTGAATGACTATTCTACCGCCCCCCTTCTACCGTGAGCCATGCAGAGCAATTGATGCTTTGTTTTTTCCTTGGAAGAAATGCCAAAGCATCACTAAAACATTAAATATATACCAAAATAGGACTTTCATGTTTTTATTCTCGAAATATGACTTACATTACCAAACATAATCATGTATATTACCAAACAATATACTCCCTCCGTCCCTAAATAAAGTTCCATTTTTGATTTTTTGGGGATTTAAGGGAGGGATATTTTTGTGTTGACTTTCCAAAAATACCCTTGATGTGATGTGCAAAAGTAAGATGTGATAGGTAGATTATTAGTAAAAAGGTATGATGTGATAGGTAGGGTATGAAAAAGTAAGGGGTAAAAGTGGTTTTTTAAGGGAAAAGAGAAATTTATTTGGGGACAAAAAAAACGAAAGAGGAAGTTTATTTAGGGACGGAGGGAATAGTAATGTGTACATGTACAATGTCACATTACCACAGTGCAAAGTCTTATTTCGGGACAAAACATGAAAGATCTAGTTGGTACTTTTCTCTATGTTTTAATCCTATTTAGAGTAATTTTTATTTTTCTTTTCGCTGAGTTGCTTTCTTCTTTGTTTATTTCTTTTGTTTTTTTCGGTTTTTTTGTTTAGTTGCTTTCTCGTTTTTTGTTTGGTTTTTTTCGTTCAATTGCTTTCTTCTACGTTAATTTTCCTTTATTATATTTTTTTAGTTTTTTATTCTTTGTATTTAGTTTTATTTGATTTTTTAGCAAAATTATGGAAAAGAATGTTTTTTAGCTTTAATATTTATTAGTTTTTAGTAATTTTTTATTTAAGAGATTAAAAAAATTATTTGACTTCTTCAAATAAAAAAGAGATAGAATTTAATTTGATTCGAAATATGTAAGTATTAAATAAAAACTAAAATGAAATCATTGTAGTGGAAGGGGGGCACTATGGGTGTGAAGTGACTGTGATGGTGAGTGTTCTCAATGCTGTTGTGACATTGAGTGGGCGGTGGTGAAGCACTTCAGACCGCCTCATGGGTCAACAGGGAAAAACACTCTATGTGCTAAACATAGGGATCAGGTTGTGTACATGAGGGAGTCAAGCTACATCTATCCAACCCCTATGTACATTAGAACATTTATATAACTAGACTCGTACTCGTGCGATGCACGAGCTATTAATTGACATATAATTACTCAATGTTTTGAATAAAGAAAAATGTTACAAAAACATAAAAAATTATAAAATTTGAAAAAATAGAAAAAAGAAGGGGAGTTTTGGAAGTGTTATAAGTTTTGAAAACTTCTATATAAACTACATTCGTAATTTGGTTACATGAAAGATCTTTATTGCAAATTACAATCTTTAACACTTTTCATGCATTGCACGGTATTAATATTTAACTATTATTTTAAAGAAAAAAATGAATAAATTTTACTCCGTATGATATAAATAAATTGGATTCAAATAAAGTGGATAGGTGAGAAATCAAAAAATGAATTTATAGGATAGATAAGAACTTAGTAAATATTTGAGTTAACACCAATAAAAAAATAGAGGCCAGTTACCATGACATTGAAATTAATGTCATGAGATGACTCGGAGATCCTCTGGTGCCCCGTTCATAAAATTGACAGTTTTTACCTCACTAATCTCCAAGTACCAAAAATCTTATAAGCATTATTTAAATATAAATAACTCGAAATTAAAAGAAGAAAATGGTGTTATCTCTTCTTATGTTGTTTTTTATTGTAGGAATTAAATCATTGTCTATGGACAGAGTTATCATTTTGATCCTATCCCATTACTCAATTTTCAAGATACTAATCTCTTTTGTTATCAGCCATCCGACTTCACCATTGTCAACTTTGAGAATGTATCAAACCCATCTCTCTCTCGCCTAAAAAGAATCCAACACACAGAGCATTAAATTTTTTATTAGACATTTCCAAACTACAGTTCAAAACATCAACAAACATATATAGATGATCTTAGACATTGAAAACACATAAAACCTCACATCAAAGAAATTAAATTTTCAATTAGTAACAATTATTATACCACTAATATGTACATTAGAACATTTATATAATTGTTTATTTATTTTTATAGCAGTTTTTAGTTTGATTACTTTTATACTTATATAACTCAAAATAAACACAAAGACAAACGAAATTCAACCCAAGAACCAAAGACTAAAAAAATTTAGATTGGCTGTCAAAAATAGAGTGACACGGTATGTGACCATTCGATGTTTTTATACAAAATTAATATTGCACCATTCTTATTGAATGGTTTGATACAGTATGATTTTATGACAAATCATTAGGATCCATACTTTTATGAAAGCGGATGATACCATTTCATCCCAATAGCAAATCATATAGTATTCGTTGGTGCACTAGTACTTTTAAGACGAAATGAAAACTTTACTTTGGGTTTTTTAGGAAAAGTAGGAGGATAACTAATCACATTTATTTAAAATTTAACAATTTTTGATAATTTGATGCATCGGACAGATGTTTCTATTGCAGAGATAAACAAAATCATAAGTAAAAGAGCACAAGGTTTTCAAGAAAAGAGATATGAGTTATTCAGGAGCAGATGTTCAAAATGTTACATAAAAGCTTCATGGCCAAGAAGGATTATAACCTACAAGAGTCTTAAATCAAAGAAGAGTCTTAAATAGAAGATTCAACATACCTGCTTTAATATGCAAATTGGACCTGATGGGTTTGGTTGGCAGCAGCAATCTCCAAATCAGCTTTGAGTTATACGTCGAAATGCGGATACTTCCAATCATTTGGGACAATCACCAGTCGCCTCCGAAGCCATACCGATGAGGTGTGTTCTGCAAGGTCTCAACATTGTATGTAAACTTCACTTCTATATGTGGATACTTACTCAACATTTCAGACATTGTTGAGGTGTGCTCTGCAAGATTCTTCAAATACTCGGGATCTTCCGATTTTAGAACCTTTCCATGGACAATCAACTTCCTAAGATTTGGACAGCACTTCAGCACCTTCTCTGTCCATTCCGTGAAGTCAACAATACAATCCCAATTAAAACATTCCCATCCAACATCAAGGATGACCACATTCTCCAATGGAGACAATCCTCTAATGTTATAGTTGACAGGCTCATTTACATCATGGAGTATTGAAAGATGGTTTAGCTGGGGCGAACAAACAGCAATTTGGTCTAAATCCACAACTAGTTCGGACCCATCAAAAATTATTGTAGCATCTCCGTAAAATCTCATGCGTTCCCCAATAAAACGCCAAATTCGAAACATCTTCAACTTTGGTGCTTGAACCTTCATCGGGAACAAATTTGACTGAACGACATGACTGTTGATGAATTCTAAACTCTCTAGATTGTCTCCCTCTTTAATTTCAAGAAGTGTAAAATGCGATTTAGAAATCCTGAGGTGCCTCAGATTTTTACATCCATGGACCTTAAATATACCAAAACAAGAGTCGTTCACATGCAAATATCCAACATCACAGGTCTCCAAAATAAGTCCAAATACAATGACACCAATGAAAAGAAGAGTCTTTAATGTAGGTAAATGCAATTTGACTGTTACTTCTTCATGAAAAAAGTCATCCTCGACTCGAAATTCGGGGTTACGTAGTTCCAAACACTCAAGTTTGGGAAGAGCCAGAAGGAACCGGTTTAAATCCTCTTCTGAAGTACGGCAATGATTTAGACAAAGTGATGTCAAACAGGGGAATCGATGGAAGACTGGTGCAACCCCGATAATTGTTTCTTCATATAAACTCAAGGTTTTGAGTTTCCGCCTCCCGCATATATCAAGAACACTAATAGTGGGAGAAGTGATAACACCATAAAACAACTCCGACAATGTTTCTCTAGTGAACATTAACCAGCCCAAAGCTGCAACAGCTGAAACCTTGTGCATGTGAGTTGCAATGGATAGTTTTCGCACACCTTGTGTCTGAAATAAGGTCTTTGTGATCAACACTTCCAAGTCAGGCGTAGGAAGTTCGTGGTAGACATGATCACCATCAGAAACATCAAAGGAAAGTGTGTGAAGGTGCTTGCGAAAAGCTTCTCGCCACTTGCGACGAGTAAGAGAAGCTCTGATGACATCTCTTGCAACTCCTACGCGAGACAATATCTCTCCAATAATCTCAACAGGAAGCTTCTCCACGAGGCCTTCCTCGCTCGTACTACCATTAGGAGAATGAGCACGAGATTTCTTGATTACATTCCTCTCCATCTTCAAACCATACATAAATTCAAACAGGAAAATCAGTAATTGAAGCATGAAGTGGGGAAATCAACTGTATGCATAAAGACCGAACAAACAAATTCCAATCATCTAATTACATTTAAAGCTTCAAATTGACAAGAAAGCGGATTGAAACAATGAAATAAACAATAATAAGTTTAAGAGGGATAAGCACTTATTACGAGTTATCTTACGACCTAAACAAACAAATTTCGAATGGAGCCTTTCCCCTTTTCTAGGGTTTGTGAAGGACTTCGAAGATGGAATCTGCCTGTCTAAAGGGCATTAAGGGGCCAAACCAGACTGGATCGGTATTCCTTCGATGAAGACGCGAAGATGCTCCATTTTAACCACCCACGAGGGCCACGGCGTTCATATGCGTCCGGCCTTCTACCAGTGAACTCAAATGCTTGAGAAAAATTCAAATCTAAGTCCAATCTCATATCCAATGACAATTAATAAAATTTAAGTTAGGGCCGTGCAATCATGCTATACTTAAACCAGAAATGTACATATCACTTGTACACCGCAGTTATATACAAACATTTTGATAGTTTACACTGACACAAGTCTAGATGCATTAAAAAAAAGTGAAATTTGCACTAAATAGGACTAAAACATAATGACTTTCCTAATGTAGGACTTAAACTTTTTTATTCCCTAAATAGGACTTAATAATGACCTAGTAGAAAGAATAATGTCCAGTAATGATGGACATTTAGTTGAATAATGACTACTTGATAATGAACAAAGGTCCTACATTGGGAAATAAAAACATATGGTCCTATTTTGGGAAAGTCATTATGTTTTAGTCCTATTTAGGTAAATTTCTCTTTAAAAAAATTTATACGAACACAAAGTGTTGGTGCGTTAACAAAAATTAGTTTTACATCAACACAAAATGTCGGTGCAAACATGGGATGTACAAAATAGAGTACAAAAGATTGGGGTACAAATAGCTTTGTCCTTTAAGTTAATCTCTTAAGAGTTAAGAACGAGATTAATTTTGAAAAAGTTGTCTAGTCTTTATTAACTCAGCGTAGCTGTTTCACGTGTTACAAATTGAAATGCGTTGAAAATATTAATTAAGAGTAATGACAGTCAACCTATTCGATGTCTTAAGTATGTTGTATACAAAGAAATGTTGCAAAATGTAAAGAGTGTATTTTTTCTTATTAAAATATAAATACCTTTTTTTCAATTTATTGGTATACTACCTTAGCCCATGGTATTTGTACCATTTTGATTTTTTACGGTCAAAATTGATGAAACTTTACTATAATTAAATAGAATTAAAGATACTATTTGCAAATATATTTTTTCATTTAGAACCAATAAGTTTACTAATTCATATATAAAACATTAACTTTAATATTTTTTCATACGGAGTAGTTACTAATTCATATATAAAACATTAACTTTAATATTTTTTCATACGGAGTAGTGCATCGCACTAGCACATAACCAATTTATTTAAAAGAGAGAATAATTGATATCTACATTTCTGCTCCCTAAGAGAAAAGTAGATAAATGTAAAATTGATTTCAAGATATAAAAAATGGTAACAATGTGTGAAGTTCTTTAAAAAACAAATATTTTTATAGAAGACGACTTTGAAAAAATTATCCACGCATTACCATCTACCTATTTACAAATGCAATAGAAAAAGTTTTTGCGCAAATGATTCAACCGTTGGAAGACGACACGATCTCTCAATTAGCGCACGATATGGCAAATGCTACGATCTCAACACGGATAAAGCTCACACCTTTGATTATGCACTGTATACATGATTTAATAACCTTCGAGTTGAAATGCATGTTTTAGGTGCAGATATGTATGTTGGGAATTTTAGGTGCAAATATATGCACCATTTTTTGAAATTTGTTTATTTGTTGGAGTTCTGAGTAGTGAAATTGTGCATTGCAGGTTTTGGCATAGTGGTTATGTTTTGAGCTTCGGGAAATGATACGTGTACATCAGAACATGTATATTGTGAATTGAGTGACTGAACTGATAGTATATAAAAATGTAATGAAATTGTGCATTACACGATGCCTTTTGAATTGATTGACGATCCTGCGATTATATTTAACATACACCAAATCGTTCAATCTTTGATGTTCCATCCAATGTTTTTGTGTATCTAATTAATATTGCATGTACTACCTTTATATCAATCATTCTTAGATGTTGATCACTTACAAATTCAAAAGTACCCCAATTGCTTTCACAACTCAGATGATGGACAACAAAAACGAATTATTCTACTAACAAATTCGAGAACTCATGAAGTGTATCCACAAAAAGAATCCCACCAATCAGCTCAAAATATTGAATTATAAAACATAACAATAAAAATACTTATGTTGGCACATTGTTGTTCGTTGTTTAATCGAACAAACAATGAAGATTCACTAGTTTCTTTTTTTTTACTTTGGGGTTTGATGTAATAAAGCAAAATGGCTCTTTAAAATGCATGTGTTTCTTTCAATAGTGAAATACTACAGTTAGTCAACGAACTTTCGACACACATCATGGGTGATCAGAAAACCACTCAATGTTTTAGACATAGGGTCAGGCTGCGTACATCCGGGAGTCAAGCTACGTACATCCAACCACTATGTACATCGGAACATTTGTACATTCAACCCCTATTTATAATTATATAAATCAAAATAAACCCAAAGATAAACAAAATTCAAACCATAACCAAACACTATTAAAAAAATTGTATATTGGCGGTCAAACATAGAGTGACACGGTATGTGACCATTCGATGTTATTTATGTAAAATTCAAATTGTACCATTATTATTGAATGGTTTGATACAGTACGACTTTACGACTAAAATCATTCAAGATCATGCTTTTATGAAAGCAGATATCATTTCATGCCAATATCAAATCATATTGTATTGGATGGTGCACTAGAAAAAGTAGGAAGATAACTAATCACATTCATTTAAAATTTAACAACTTTTGATAATTTGATGCATAGCACAGATGTTTTCATTGCAGTGATAAACAATCATAGATAAAAGAGCACAAGGTTTTCAAGAAATGAGATATGAGTTCTTCAGGAGCAGATGTTCAAAATGTTACATAAAAGCTTCATGGCCAAGAAGGATTATAGCCTACAAGAGTATTAAATAGAAGAAGAGTCTTAAATAGAAGATTCAATATACCTGCTTAGTATTCAAATTGGACATGATGGTTTGGTTGGCTGCAGCAATCTCCCAGCTTTGAGATATATGTCGTAATGCGGATGCTTCGGACAATCACCAGTCAGCTCCGAAACCATACTGAAGAGGCGTGTTCTGCCAGGTCTCAACATCGTATGTAAACTTCACTTCTATATGCGGATACTTACTCAACATTTCAGACATCGATGAGGTGTGCTCTGCAAGATTCATCAAATACTTGGGATCTTCCGATTCTATAACCTTCCCATGGACAATCAACTTCCTAAGATTTGGACAGCACTTCAGCACCTTCTCTGTCCATTCCGTGAAGTCAAGGACACAACCCCATTTGAAACGATCCCATCCAACATCCAAGATGACCAAACTCTCCAAGGGAGACAATCCTCTAAAGTTATAGTTGACAGGCTCATCTACATCATAGAATATTGAAAGATGGCTCAGTTGTGGCGAACAAACAGCGATTCGATCTAAATCCAAAACGAATTCGGACTCATCACCTGGGTAAAAAAGATGACTTCTGTCAACAAAACGCCAAATTCGAAACGTTTTTAACTTTGGTGCTTGAAGCTTCATCGGGAACAAATTTGACATAAAGACATGACTAGTAATGATTTCTAAATTCTCTAGATTGTCTCCCTCTTCAATTTCAAGAAGTTGAAACTCCGATTTGGAAATTTTGAGCTGCCTCACATTTTTACTGCCATTGACCTTAAATAAATCAAAAGCACAGCCTTTCATATGCAAATATCCAACATCACATGTCTCCAAAATAAGTTCAAATACAACTAGATCAATAAAAAGGAGTCTTCAATGTAGGTAAATGCAATTTCACTGTTACTCTTTCTGAAAAATTATGCTCATCCACGACTCCAAATTGGGGGTCACGTAGCTCCAAACAGTCAAGTTTGGGAAGTGCCAAAAGGAGTCGATTTAGATCCTCTTCTGAAGTACGGCAACGAATCAGACAAAGTGATGTCAAACAGGGGAATCGATGGAAGCCATGTTCAACCCCGATAATTGTTTCTGCTTGTAAACTCAAGGTTTTGAGTTTCCGCCTCCCGCATATATCAAGAACACTAATAGTGGGAGAAGTGATAACCCTATAAAACAACTCCGACAATGTTTCTCTAGTGAACATTAACCAGCCCAAAGCTGCAACAGCTGAAACCTTGTGCCTGTAAGTCACAATGGATAGTTTTTGCAGACCAGTTGTTTGAAATATGGTCTTTGTGATCAACACTTCCAAGTCAGCAGTAGGAAGTTCACTGTAGACAGGGTCATCATCATCAGAAACATCAAACGAGAGTGTGTGAAGGTGCTTGCAAAAAGCTTCTCGCCACTTGCGACGAGTTAGAGAAGCTCTGATGACATCTCGTACAACTCCTACGCGGGACAATATCTCTCCAATAATCTCAACAGGAAGTTTCTCCACGAGGCCTTCCTCGCTTGTAATACCATTAGGAGAATGAACACGAGATTTCTTGATAACATTCATCTCCATCTTCAAACCATACATAAAGATTTATTAATTACATTCCTCTCCATCTACAAACCATATATAAATTCAAACAGGAACATCAGTAATTGAACAATGAAGTGGGAAAATCACAGGTATGCATAAAGACCGAACAAACAAATTCCAATCATCTAAATTACATTTAAAGCTTCAAATTGACAAGAAAGAGAATTGAAACAATGAAATAAACAATAATAATTTTAAGAGGGATAAGCACTTACGAATTATCTTGCGCCCAATACAAACAAATTTCGAATGGAGCCTTTCCCCTTTTCTAGGGTTTGTGAAGTGTTGGGAAATTGATTACTCCCTAATAATCAAACGAAAAGAAAAAAAATAAGGAAAAGGACAAAGAAGTTTTTTAGGTCAATGGTCAATTAATTAGATAAATGATAACTCAGGTCACATAATAAAATCTTGTCCTACATTCTCCACTTGGCCGAGTACTCAGTTATGATGAGTATTAGATAAGTCTGATCAGATTTTAATACTCATTTTAGTTCTAAACAAAAATTGCAGCAGAGAAATACAGTCATTCAATCGATATTCAATTCAAGACCCCCATTAAACATACTACGATACCAAATTTAAAACTTAAATAAACTAAGGATCAAATTGACAATTAAGCCCATAACATTATTTTGTATATAAATGTTGTCTACATGTCTTTAGGCATGCATAGACACATTCAGAGACAAACATAACAAAACAATGAGGAAATTTTATTATTAAATGTAAGCAAGTACAATATGCAACTAAATAAGGTCTTTAGAAAACCCCATCTTCGACACATGTTCTTTGAAAATCTTAGGAGGGAGACCTTTACTCATTGGATCCCCAAGCATATTTTTAGTACTTATATGCTCAATACAAAGTTTATTTTCCTCAACTCATTCACGTACGAACAAGTATTTTGTATCAAGATATAAAGTAGCGCTAGTCGAACTGTTACTGTTCGAGAAACTAACAGCGACTGAGTTATCACAATAAAGCTTCAATGGTCGAGAGATGGAATTAACTACTTTGAGTCCAGTGATGAGTTTTCTAAGCAACATCCCATGACAGGTTGTGTTGTACACCGCAATGTATTCTGCCATCATAGTAGAAGTTGTAGTCAACTCCTGCTTATGACTCTTCCACGAGATAGGTCCGCCAGCTAACATAAAGATATACCCTGAAGTGGATTTCTTGTCATCTTTGCACTTAGCAAAATCAGAATCAGAATAACCAACCACTTCTAAATTATCACTCCTTTTATAAGTCAATTTATAGCTATTCGTCCCTTGTAGATATTGAAGAACTTTCTAAGCTGCTTTCCAGTGATCAAGACAAGGATTGGTCTCATAACAACCTAACATTCCAGCAATGTAAGCGATATCTGAACGAGTACAGACTTGTGCATACATAAGGCTTCCTACTACTGACGCATAAGGTATCATTCTCAACTGTTCTTTTTCAAACTCTCTGTTTTCGGACATTGAAACAAACCAAAAACATCTCCCTTAACTACTGGAGCCACAGAAGGAGAGCATTGTTGCATGTTATAACATGTAAGGACACGCTCAATGTAGGCCTTTTGAGATAATCCCAAAATCCCATTGACTCTATCTTGGGTATTTCGATGCCAATAACATAAGAAGCCTCTTCGAGATCTTTCATGTCAAAATTACGCGAGAGTAAGCGCTTGGACTTATGCAACATGTCTAAACTATTACTTGTCAATAGAATGTCATCTACTTAAAGGACAAGTATAGTAAAGTTGCTCCCACTCATCTTAAGGTAGGTGCATTGATCCACTTGGTTCTTTATGAAACCTTCTGACTTCAATACTTGATGCAACTTTAGGTACCATTGACGTGATGCCTGCTTCAACCCGTACATGGATTTCTTTAGCTTACAGACTAGATGTTCTCGACCTTCAAATTTGAATCCTTTGGGTTGTTTCATGAACACTTCTTCATCCAAATCGCCATTAAGGAGAGCGTTTTTGAAATCCATCTAATGTAGCTCTAAATCAAAGTGAGCTACAAGGGCCATAACGATCCTTAAGGAATCCTTTCGAGAGACAGGAGAAAAGGTCTCTTGATAGTCAAATCTCTCTTTCTAAGTGTAGCCCTTTGCAACCAATCTCGCTTTGTAGCGTTCAATGTTTCCATTCAGCTCCAGTTTTGTTTTGAAGACCCATTTACATCCTACTGGTTTTACACCGTTGGGTAATTCAACCAAATCCCAAACATCATTTTTCTTTATGGAGTCAAGCTCTTCAATCGTGGCTTTATTTCATTTAGAAGACTGATCACTGTTAATGGCTTCATTATAAGAGGTAGGATCGGTAAACTTTCTAGCACACATTTCTGCTTCAGTCAGGTAGGTAACATAATCATCAATGTTAGTAGGCCTTTTAGACCTAGATCACCTCCTGAGCAAATTTTTGGATTGAGCATTGGCGGCATTATCTTGATGGTGATCATTTGAGGTGTCTTCATTTCTAGGTACATTTGGAGTAGGAGGTGGTGCAGTGTCTACAGATTGGCACTGAGTACAAAAGGAATAATTGGAGGTAAAGTAATCGACAAGTCCCCCCCCCCCCCGCGTCTTGTACTTCTAGCAATTCATCATAAGGGTTTTCAGTGCTCCCACTGACCTTAAAATCTTCAAGGAAATGAGCATCTTTGGTTTTTACAATGCGAGTGACGTGGGAAGGACAATAAAATTTGTAACCCTTTGAGTGAGAAGGATAACCAATGAAGTAGCAAGTTACAGTTTTCATGTCGAGTTTCTTTAAGAAGGGATTATAAAGTTTAGCTTCGGCGAGACAACCTCATACTTCCATATATCTTAGACTCGGTTTCCTTCTTGTCCATAATTCATAAGGAGTTTTAGGGACAGCTTTAGAAGGAACCCTATTCAGTATATGAACGGCTGCTTTTAAGGTCTCGGTCTATAGAAATAGAGGTAAACCTGAGTTGGCTAACATATTGCGTACCATGTCCATTAGGGTCCTATTTCTTCTCTGAGCAACACCGTTTTGCCGAGGAGTACCAGGCATAGTATATTGGTTCACGATCCCCTAGGCCTTACAAAACTCATAAAATAGACCAGGAGCTTGACCCACACCAGTATGTCTACCATAATATTTACCTCCTCTATCTGATCTTAAAACTTTTATCTAACGATCAAGTTATTTTTCAACTTTAGTTTTATAATCTTTAAAAGTTGTAAGTGATTTAGATTTTTCCTTAATAAGGTACAAGTACATATAACGAGAATAATCATCAATATAAGTGATAAATGAGTTATGTCCAGTTATGCTAGTGATAGAGTAAGGACCAATAATGTCAGTGTGAATGAGTTCTAGTAAATTAGAACTTCTAGTGGCACCTTTCTTATTCACTGATGTCATTTTACCTTTAAGGCATTTGACACATGTTCTAAATCATTGAAATCGAGAGATGGTAATACTTCATCCTTCACAAGTCTAGACAAACGTTCTCGTGAAATGTGGCCTAAGCGTTGATCCCAAAACATGCATGAAGTTTCTAAGTCTCGTTTTCATTTTCTCTTTGTTAATGTCTGATTGATATTATATGACAACAAAGATTTGGAAAAATCGCCATCTAGTTCTAATTTTTAGAGACCACCATCTAGAAAACCATGACCAAACACTTGAAAATTGAAACTAATAGTAAGTCTGCCACGACCATGAGAAACATCAAAACCGTCTATGTCTAACTTTGGTCCTGATACCAGATCCCGAGTAATCCCGGGAATATATAAGGTATCATATAGTTTAATACATAAACTAGTTTTCATTATTAATTCTAAGGTTCCCACGGCTTCGATAGCTAGTTCTGTTCCATTCCCCAAATTAAGTGTTCTTCGATTTCTTTCCAGCTTCTGGATTGTAAGGAATCCATGGAGTGAGTTGGTTACATGAACCATAGAACCAGATTCAAACCACCATGTATTAGTTGGAACATTTAAATTAAAGGACTCAAGTATCATGTAAAGATGATTACCTTTCTTCGTCACCCACTCCTTAAAGTCTTGGCAGTCTTTCTGTCTATGTCCTTCCTTGCGGCAGAACTTACAGTAAGACGTCCCTTTGGAGTTCTTAGAGCTGGAAGAAGCACTTGAATCACGTTTCTGGACTTTAGAAACTTCTTTTAATCGACATTGCCCTTCCTCTTCTTTGGATTAGCGGTCATGAGGTAAGCCACATCCAGTTTGTCCAGCTTGAGACGATCTTCTTCTTGTACACACATAGCAATCAACTCATTCATCGACCACTTGACTTTCTGGGTGTTGTAGTTGACCTTGAAAGCTTCAAAAAATGCAGGAAGAGAAGTCATGATGAATTGCACCAGAAAACCCTCACTGATTTTCATGTATAATCCCTACGGGCCATGTCGTTCATCATCATGATGTGCTCACGAATGCCGATATTCCCATCGTATTTCGTAGTCACCATCTTCAAAATAAGATTACTAGCATGTGCCTTAGAAGTTGCTTTGAATTGTTCCTTCACGGAAGCCAGATATGTTCTAGCATTAGATGAATCTGGAATAGCCCCCCTGATGATTATGCTGATGGAATTTTTAATGAGCATAAGAGTCATTCTATTGCACCTCTCCCATCTCTCATGTACTATTTTATCTTCAGCAGTACTTTTATCAGTGAGGGCAGGAGGGGCAGGCTCTCTCAGTGCATAATCAAAATCCAACATGCTAAGAGTTAGCATCAGTGAATCTTTCCATGAAGAAAAATTCACACCGTTTAAAGTTTCAATTTTGTTTCATTTTCCTAAAGTGTAATTATAATCAGAAATATGCTTTTACCCTAATTAAAAAAAATTGTTATGCGAAACATGTTCTTTAGATTTATCATGTTTTTCGATCTTACAATAAACCAGTCTCAGAAATTGGTTTTCATTAAAAAAAATTGAAGCTTTGATACCACATGTTGATTAATTCTTAAACATAAAATATAAATCAGGGATTTAATCATGTGTACCTGATAATCCTGTAAACGTAGTTAGGGATGGGGCCATGATTCTCACGCAGATGGAGTTCCCGTTTAGGGTGTATCGTTATGATGGCTAAGGTGAGGATGCGACTCACGAGAATAGAGAGGCAGAGAGGAGGCGTAAGATTGGCGTGTTCTAATCTCTGCATAATGACCTCTATATATATACACCCAAGGAGAAACCCTAATTATGTTGTTAAGGTAATTACGTCCATCGAATAATTACCAATTAAATACGTA